CCGCCCCGCCCCTCCCGGAGCCGGGGCTTCCAGCCCAGCCCCTCTAAACCCCAACAGTGTCTTCGATAAAAACTAAGTTTCCTGCCCTGACCAGTGTGGCTCAGCGGGTTGACCGCTGTCACGTGCACCGAAAGGTCACCGGTCGGACTCCGGGGTCAGGGCACAAGGCCAGATTGCCGTCCCGGCCGGGGTGCGTTCGGGAGGCAACTGCAACCGATCGATGTTCCCTGTTTCTCTCTCGCATCGATGTTTCTCAAATAGATGTCATTTTCTCTATAAGATCAATTAAAACATTAAAATACAAAACTAAGTTTCCTGAGGCCACGCGTCTTGGCTTTCCCTGCGGGAATAGCGGCGAGCTCAGGGGGCCCGGCCTTCATTCATCGGTCGGCCACTACAGCCCACTCTCCCCCGGTCCTCTCCCTTCTTCTCTGTAAAAAATCAATAAAATATATTAAAAAACAACAACAAAAACAAACAAACAAAACTAAGTTTCCTGAGGCCACGTGTCTTCGCTTTCCCTGCGGGAATAGCGGCGAGCTCAGCGGGCCCGGCCTCCATTCATGGGTCGGGCGCTCCAGCCCACTCTCCCCCGGCGCCCCACAATCACACGCTGGGGGCCGCGGGTAAGAAACAAAGACCAGCTCAATTTTATTAGGACTGGGGTGGGGGTCAGGCTGTCCCGAAGGGCCCTCTACTCCTGGTCCTTGGCGTCGCCGTGCGTGATGACGTAGCAGATGTTCTTGTAGTCTACCATGCCGGTCACGTCGGGAGGGAAGGCCGCCCACATGTTCTTGATCTGGGGAAAGACGGCCAGATCGCGTTTCCTGCGGGTTCCTGGGGCCCCCGTCCCCCACCCCTCTGCCTTTCCCAGGCCCCTACCCCACTCACCTCTTCCTGGGAGAAGCGGTCACATTGGGTGGTAAGCAGCTCCTCCAAGCTGGAGAGAGGTGACACAAGGGGAGTTGAGATGGGGCCTTGTAAATTCTTCCCACTCCCACCTCATCCTTGTTGCTATTCCCAGTTTCTCCTGAAAACCAGGGTCACTCTGGATCCTTCCAGTGATCTCACAAACACAACACAATAGGCTTTTGCCCTTCTCCCCACATGTGATGTGCAAATTTAATCCTAATCACAGTCTTCATTTCTGGTCACTCTGGATCCTTCCAGTGATCTCACAAACACAAAGATGAAAGGCTTTTGCCCTTCTCCCCACATGTGATGAGCAAATTTAATCCTAATCACAGTCTTTATTTCTCCCCGTATCCCTGGCAACACCTAACCCTTGGCAGGAGCTTGAGGCTTTCTGTGGGTGAGCAGCTGGAGGGGGCACTTACAACTGCTTCTTGATAACACCCTTCCCTTCAGGGTCCAGGACCTTGAAGGCTCCAGTGATCACATCCTCGGGGTCGGCACCTGGAGTGAGAGGGCACACGGGTCCCTGAAGGGTCTGTCTCTGAAAGATCTGGGAAGGGGCAGCTGGGAGCTTGGACCCAGGACGCTTCATTCACCTTTCAGCTTCTCTCCGAACATAGTCAGGAAGACGGTGAAGTTGATGGGGCCGCTGGCTTCCTTCATCATTTCATCTAGCTCCTCATTCTTCACATTGAGGCGCCCTGGAATGAGGCGGGGGAAGCATGGGCTGGAGTGGGGTCCTGGGACCAGAGGGTGATTCTTCTCATAAATTCAGATCATCCCCCCCATTTTTCATCTGGGTAGACTGAGGTGGAGTCAGCAGGGCTGGCCCCCAAGGCTGCTGAATTCCCAGGACTCTACAGCCTTGAACCTTTAAGGGGATTGGGTGGGGGGCTCACCCATGGCTGCAAAGGTGTCCCGCAGGTCTTCCTTGTCAATAATGCCATCACGGTTCTGGTCAATTACTGTGAAGGCCTGTGGAGGACAAGGGCAGGGAGGGGTTAGGGCCCCCATGGCCAGGCTTTAGCATCCTTACTCCAGGCAGATCAGATTGTGGCCCCCAGCCAGCTGTCCTCTTTCGTGCCAAAAAGGGAGGGGAGCAAGGAATTCTAAACCCTTCCCCTCCCACTAAAACAGGTGCACATTCCGGGGTGGTAGGGTGGGGGAGGGCAGCAAGGGTGCCTTTGGTTAGCCTTCAGTCTCCCTTCCCTTCACTCACCTCCTTGAACTCCTGGATCTGAGTCTGGTCGAACATTGAGAAGACATTGGAGCTTCCACCCTCTGCTGCTGCCCTTCTCTTGGCCTTCTTGGGTGCCTGGGGGGTGAAGGTTGGGCAAAGACATCCATGGGCCAGATCCTACTATTCTCTGGAGGCAATGGATTAGACTCCGGGTTCTTTGCGTCCATTCTTGTAAAGCAACTCATCTGGCTCTAGGCTTCCTCCTCTTTGTGACTGCTTTGCTGTGGGTGCTTGTTTCAGTTGCGTCCCCAAATTCCTATCTGTAGCCCTTGAGTCCCACCCCTCCATCCTACCCAAGTGGAAGTTTCCTCTTCTTAGTGTCCTGAGCCTGCCTCCTCTGAGTCCCAGACTTCCTGTGTGACCCTGATCCACTCGTTCATTCTGTATGAACCTCTATTTTCTCATTTATAAAATGGGAGTGGGGAAGGTGGGGAGGCAGAAGGGATCAATGTGATGGGGGGAAGGGGGACATTAGTAATACTTTCAACAATAAAGATTTAAAAAAACATGGGAGTGGGAATCCTTGCCAGCTTGGCCCCAGAGGGTTTTAGGAAGATGGAGAGCAGGACAGTATGGAGCATGCTTTGAGAGGGATTGGGCTCCAGTGAATGGAGTGTCTGAGTGGATTACCCTATGCACCCCATTAGTGATACCAAGAAAAGAAAGACTCATCTTTCTTCCTCTTGATGGACTGGGAACCAGCTACCTTCTTTCAAAGGGTGAGGCTGCTCTGAGGTCTGAGGGATCTGGGCAGGGGCTGGGGGATTCTTACCATGTCTTCAGTTTCCTGGGGGGCAAGGCTGGAAAGTAGCAGAGAGCAAGCTTGCTGCAGTCTCTCTGGGGTTATATAGTCTTGCCCCAGGGAGCCCTTAACATACCAGGGTAACCTTAGCCCTGCGGGTGCCCACCCCAGATACCAAAATAGCCTGGCTCAGGGCCTTTCCTTTCTTGGAGGGCCTGCAGCAGCTGGAGTCCAGGGAGAGAGGGAGGAGGAAATGAGTCTTGGGATGCATGTCTCACTAGAACCTGGGCAGGAAGGGTTGTTCTTTCTTTCAAAAGGGAGTTAGAATGTGGCAGAGTTCAAAGAAGGCCCAAGCCGGGCCACAGCGCTTGGAGAGAGATGAACCACATCCCTGTACCCGAGTGGGGTGTGCCTAGATTTAAACCCAGTCAATTTATTGAGCACCTATAGTGTGCCAGGTGTTGTGCTGTGCTTTATGGGTGCACTTTGACAAACACAACCCACTCCCATCTGGAGTTCACAGTCAAGTGAGAGTATGTGTAGGGGTAGTGGCAGAGTTTAGAGGTGGGAGAGAGCCATCTGGGGAATCTGAAGGACCAGGAAAGTCTTCTACATTCCCTTCATGGAGAAGGAGGATTTTTTTTTTAAAGTAAATTCACTGTTTTTATTTATTTATTTTTATTTTTTAAAAATATATTTTA